CTAACGGTGCTCCCCCCCCTTCTCCTTCCAGCCTTCAGGGTGTGCCGGTGGCTTACGACAACATCAAGGTGGTGGGCGAGCTCGGGGACATTTACGACGACCAAGGGTTCATCCACCTGAACGTCGAGGCGGACTTCGTCATCTTCAGCCCCAAGAAAGGGAAGAAGCTGGTGGTACGTGAGCGCGTTGGCATCTCACGGGGCGTGGGTTCTTTATGGAAAGGAATCGTTGGGAGATAATTGGCTTATCTCCCTCGTCAGCAGAGGTCTGGGACTTCGGTGGAGTTACGTTTTAGTTTATATTATTAGTTTATTCGTGTGGGAGTCCTTTACAGTAGTTCATGAGCAGTTTGTAGTAGTAGCCTTTATTTTCATCTGTACTGTCTGTCCCTGTGTTTGTTAAATTTATATACAATATTTTTAATTAATACAATCTTGTATCATAAGCGTCACATTATTAAATACTATGTAATTGTTTTGCATATCATTTATATTGATGCTTCTTTCCAGAGAGCAGATAATTCTCAAACAGGTGTGTTGGCTGTTATTTAGTAGTGTTTAGGAATGTCTAGGATGTTCCCATGAGTTTATTTCCTTCAAGTACCAGAACAGTACGTGAAGCTGAAGCCTGCCTTTCAGGAAAACGAAACAGGTGGCTCGTAGAACAGCTTTAAGGTTATTGATACACTTAACATCAGTACTTGTGGGAAAAAGTTGAGAGTTGGCTTCCATTCGTTGTGGTGCCGTACATTTTGCAGTTAGCTTGTGTCTTTCTAAGCGTGGTTAAGAAGTGAACGTGTCCCCTTGCTCGGAAGAAAAACCCTCAGTGTCTTTCATTCATCCCTGGGGAAGACAAAGGTGAATAACATTTGATGTGCAGTCATGTACTTTGAAATACTGGATGCAGCACATAAAAGCTCTTTATGTGTCGTCTGTATCTTCAGCTGCTGAGTCATGCTGTGCCAGCATGAAGGCCATTTTAGGCAAGTAATTCCAACTTCAGAGCAGACTTTAAAGCAAAGTTGATGGCTGTAGTGTGAGAAAAAGTTACCTGCTCTATTCAGGTACTCGCTGTGGCTAAATCCCGTCTTTTGACTTTCTTTCTCTTGCAGATGCAGTTTCAATTCTATTTTTATGAAGAATTGTTTGAAGAGTATATGGGAATAGCTTTGATTTTAGTGAAGAGTTAGCTTATTTGCTAGGTAAACTGGCTTTTTAGCTGGTGTATAAACTCTTGTAAAATAGTGTCCGTACAGAAACTAGGTTTATATCATGTGCATTTAAACGGATGATCTTTACTGCAGCTGCAGATGACATTCTTTTTCTTTTTTAGGGTGTAATTAATAAAGTGGCCCCTAGTCATATTGGCTGCCTGATACATGGATGCTTCAATGCTTCTATCCCTAAACCTGAACAAATGTCCATTGTACAGTGGCAAGAGCTGGGGTTAAAAATAGGAGATGAACTGAAATTTCAAGTATTGCATTTGGATTCTGATGCGGCTGGGGTGTTCTTCATTCGAGGAGGACTCACTAAAAGCAGGTATTGTGCCCTACTAGGGAATATTTTTAACTGTTTTAATGGGTTTGTTACAAGCTGAATGATTTGAATTAACATCTTAATCTTTAAGCTTTCTTATTTTTGCACAAACCTATGTCTATATGTTGCTTGCGTTATCTTAAACCAAGCGTTCTGGTGTTAAGGACTCGCGTGGAAGTCTTCTCTGGAAAAATAAAAGTAGATTTTTTTTTTCTTTTTAGCTTTAAAAGTCTGAGTGTGCTGACCTATGAACTGTTAATGTATGTTCAAAATAACACCCCCAAATGCCCAGGGTAGCTGTATTTATGAATGGGCTTAGGCTTTTCAAGTGAAAACGCTCAATGAAAACGTTGGTGTTTACACACACACACACATTACATAACCCTAAATAGCTATATGTGGGTGACTTACGAGTATCAAAGATGACAATGAGATAACAAGAAAATGCATCACCTTCTTCCTTTCACTTATGCCTCGAAATTTTCAGAGCAGCTTGCTAGAAGCCTTAATAGTGGTGTCTTTAAAGAGGTCATCCAAAATTTTTTTTAATGGTCATTTATTGAGCAATATTTTCCTACCAGTGTGGTTATGTTTTAATGAAATGTACAATATGACTGCTACTGACAAAATAATTGTTTGGTTTTTTCTTTTTTAATCTGGAAGGATGGTCTGGATTTTTTGTGAACTTACAATGAAACTTAACGATTTTGTCCCCAGTGCCTCTGTGGACGTCTCCTTCTCCATGGTTTTTAACTGCATTCTTTCCGTATTTGTCTTCCTAGACATTTTCTCCCGTGCTCTCAGTTGCAAGGTACCTGCTGGGTTTTTTGATTTTGGTTGGCTTTTTTTTTTTAATCTTTATTTTTTAGACTTTTCTGGCATCATATTTTTTTTTTTAACTGTATAGACTTCAGTGAGGCAATTGCTTGGTGAAACCAGAGCCGTTGGCTCTGCGGGTTTGAGTAACTTAAAAAGTTTTGCTACACAATGTGTCATTGTGAATTAGTGGATGAAGGTGTACAAGAAAAGAGGAAATATCAAAATGGACTGTACAGCATTTTAGAGAAGAAATTTAGGCTAAGATTTGAAAAAGAATACTGATTCTGTGGTAAGAAGGAAGGTAGTCCGGCTTTTTAAGATTTTCTGTAACTAGAGTATCAGGTTCCCTCTTTGCTATTGGTTTTAGCAAATGATTATCTTTTATCTACTTGGTGTAAATACTGTGTTTTAGCAAATCTTGACATTTCACTGTGGGAGGTGCACTTAGATGTCTCTACCTCAGCTTACGTTATACATTTCTTTACAGCATGCAGCCCAAACAATCTGAGACCACCGCTGACAATACAAATGGAGACGAAATTCAAAAGGTTGACCACCAGGAAAATGGATTGAATGACTCTGGGGGAGATAATGTCACAGAGGAGCCTTTGGACGAAACAGATAACATGGGGAGGGAAAATGCAGAAGAGCAAAGAGTTGATTCTGTGAATGGATTATGTGAAGATAAAAGCAAGAAGAAAAAGAAAAAGAAAAAGCATAAGCAAGAACAGGAGCATGTATTGCCTACCAGTGACTCCAGTGGTTACCAAAGTGACCATAAAAAGTCGAAGAAAAAGAAAAGAAAGCATTGCAATGAAGGCGAAGAAAGTGAATTCTCTCAGCTGTCGCAAGAACCCAAAGCTAAAAAGAAAAAGGACTAAAGTCTGAAGTGCCTTTCCTGAATAAGATTTCAGACATTTTTGATAAGCTTCCAATAAAATCCTGTTTTCAAAATGCATATGTATGTTTCTTTACTGAACAACCTGCGCTGCAAGGTAGGATGATGTTTGTGTGCCTGTGTGCACCAGCAGCTTTAAAGGCAGGAGCTTTGAAGTTGTATCAGAAATGGGATAGAAGCAATATCTGCCCGTATTATTTACTGGAAAATAAGGCACAGAAGAACAGTGGAACGTAATTGCAGGAACACCTGCATCAGCTCTGTGTCTGCTTCCCAGTTCCACGCATTAACCAGAGATCATGACTTTGATGCTGTAATTCCAACATTGCTGCTGAGGGTCTTGATTTTATAAGAGTAGATTAGGCTTGCCTTTAGGGTTCCGGGAAATTCCATGGGGCTGAAAAGAAGGGCTTTCTTGGGTGTTTTGGGGTTTTTTTCAGTTGTGTTAAGGGGCCATGAATGCCTGTGCATGAAACTCTGCAGCCTGACTTAAAGGTTAAGCAAACTCGAGTATCTTGGATCTTTCAAAACACCTTTCATGGTACTCTAGGAAAAATGGTATGATCAGTTGATTCAGAGCAAGCAGGGAAGACAGGAGAAGATTAAATTAATCTAGTGTAATGAAGTACCACTTACAGGTTAGAAGACCACTGAGATGTCGATTGGCAAAGAGGTTGGTGATGGGATGTACTTTGATAAACTTCATTTCTGTGCGTCAAGCTCATTGACTTCACAGTTGTCTTTACAAAAAAAAAAGCTGAAGTGCAACTTCCAACTTTCTCTGCTAGTTGTAACTTTCAAACACTGCTCTGTAGAATAGCAGAGGTACCTCCTGTCAGTATTTTCCAAACTGTTGGAATTAATGTTAGTGGGAACTCCTGGCAATGGGACAACAACAGTCAGACATTAACAAATGCACCTTTATTAAGAACTAATTTTCCTGGTGTACAACTACGATGATTTTTTTTGAATGTCAATGCTTTTGGTTGCAGCTCTTCTCTATTGTAAGGAGTTCTGGGGAGATCTGTAGTGTGACGTGCTCTAGGCTAAGTCTTTATCCAAGGTAGGAGGCAATGATTGCCTTGGTGTTGATTTACCTGTTTCAAGAAGGCGTAACCAGCTCTTTGAAAGCCTTGTAAGCAAATAGCACATCTGTGGAAACTTGCTGTTCGTCTGTCTGTTTTTAGGTGACGAAACGTTTTGCTCTAGTGATTACGCTGATGCTGTCAGCTCACTTTACTAGACGTGTATGCAGTGCCTAATAACATAATCCGTTCACGTTAAACGTGTTCTGAATTTAAAGTGAGACAATACTTGTTTCGGGGCTTGCTTTGTGCTACATTAGTGTCTTTTATGTATCTTTAAAGCTCCAAACTTTTGAAGACAAAGTTTGTCTTCCAGGCTTGATGGCATGGCAATACGTCATAGGAATTTTATTATAGCACCGTAAAGAACAAAGTTAAAAGTTTTTGAAGACTATAAAGTGAGTTTAAATAGCTGTTTAAGGGCAGCAGGAACTTCGGTGTGTCCTCTTTTGCTTGCTCTTCAGTGTACTTGATCTTGAAACCAGTTTCTTGACAATCCTGAGATGAACATGAATTGTCCCTGTTGTGTTTCTATGTGTGAAAATGCTGACACTTGAGCTACATGCAACGTCATGGATGCTGTCGTGTCTGTTCATTATTCCTCTGCTTTGACAAAACCTGAGGAGTCAGATAATGTTTGTAATGCATTTGGTACAGCACGCTGCAAGGTCTCATGTGTTAAGTGTTGCAGGGTTACACAGAAAGTCCCACCCTAATGGGCTTAAGGTTTAAATACACAGGACAGGCTAAAGGTTGGGACATAATTTACGGTCAGAAATGATGTTAGCTCCCCCCCTTTTTTTTTTCTTTTTTCTTTTTTTTTTTTTTAAAAATGGATTGATGTAGAAGGAAGAAGTTAGATGGGTAGGTATGGAGGGTACGTGAGCGAGGAGAATGGCAAGTGCAGATATTTTTTGTTGATGCCTACAGGAAGAGAAAGATGGAGGCAGTTGCTGCTGCAGATGAACCAAAGACTGTGGGAATCAAATGACCTCATCTGTTAGTCCTTAATAATCATTATAGCTCACTTTCCCTTTTAGGGAAGGGAAGCACATCTCCAACAGAGCCACTGATGGTGACTGTGGCATGAGCCAAGCCCCACCAGTTCATACAAACAGCTTGTAGCACCAGGAGTTCATCTTGCTCTGTTCCAGCTTTTCATCAGCATGGAGAGACGGGAGACATTCAGGGGGAAAGAACTGAAGTTGCAACTAATGAATCAAGTAACATTCTATAAATGCTTTCAGCACTTTAAATGCTCTTTTTCCAATTTTGCTGCCTTACCATTTACTGAAAGAGACTTGCCTACTGTAATTTAACAAACTGCAGACTTTTTTTGAGGGTATTAAGCAACTTTTCTGAAAGCCCGATGTAATCTGTCTCAGTTTTGGGCCTTATTTAAAGGCAGGATTTTTTGGCACTCAAGTGTGGCCGGCACCCTCTTATATTTTTTTGAGGGGGTTTTCTTTCTTGGCTTACAACAGAAAAGAGCAATTAAAAAATAAATTAGATGCAGGAGCTGGCAATTCCTGATTGCTGAACAAGTTGTTGCTCCAATGTTACATGTTACATTAAATTCTTGATAGGTCAATATGCAAATAGCAACTGTGCTACAAAATAAAATTGGAGATTCCTTTGCCTGACAATTGTACAAAGCAGTTGACTGACTGCTGTTTTGTATCTTTGGAAGGGGAAAAGTGAAGAAAAGACTTAAAAAAAGAAAGAAGGGAAAAAGTGGTTTTCACAGTTGGGACAAATATTGGCAGCCTCACAGCTGCAGTGTTGATGTTGCTGTAGACACTGTTTCAGCATTAGCTAAATATGGCAAGAAAACTTGCATTTTCAAAAGTGAATTGTCACTCTATTTGTGACTTTAAATCACTTCACTTTATTTTTTTCCCCTTTAAAGAAGTAAGATTTTCCAGTGCTTGAAATTAACAAAGGAAAGAAGCTGAACTTGGCACTTTCCATACAAGTTTCTATGAAGTTTGATCATTATAAATGTTTAGCTTTCTGTGTTCCCCTGGACTACAAATGAAGAGTCATATTGAATTTTGAGCTGAGCTTTTTGAGTATAGAAAACGAACATTTGTAAAGCTTCCAGTGAGGCCAGATGACTTCATATTTGCTTGCATGGCCCTTCTGTGCCTTTTTTTTCAGAGTGCATTCTAGTACAACTCACTTCTGTCACATAGCAAAGGGAGCATTAGAAAGTAAAATTGTATATTGTCCTATAACTGTATTGGTAATTACGCCAAGGTAACTATCAGGTGATCTAGAGAAAACATACGCTGGTTTTTTTTTCCTGTTTTAACATTAAGTTGGCAACAAAGCCAATATTCACTTCTGTCTGTGGTTGACAACCTCTTGTCTGTCTGTATTATAAAACCCATAGTTCTAACTTAGCCAGCTATAAGAAGTTTCTAAAGCAGGACTGCTTCTTTGCAGTTTTATAAATATTTTGATTCTGCAAACATGTTTCTCAGTGTATTGTGTGTCTCTGGCAGAGGAGCAAGCGCTCTTAGAGGGAAGTATTTTTAGCTCTCATTAAAACAATTGTTTTCTATTTTCTGAAGCTTGCAATGATCTGCAGTGTTAACTTTTGCTCTTTGTCTTTTCCTTGCTTCTCTTGGAAATGAATTCTTTGTTTTTAACTTGGCAGTTTCCTGCTGCTTAAAATACGCAGCCCAAACAGCCCAGTGGATGAGCTCTAGGGAAAGGATTTTTTTAAAGGGCCTAAGTAAGCTAGCTGCCTTTTGGAAAACATGAGCCTTGATCAAATCTGCCTCTGAATAAGCAGTTTGCCTTTGGAAACATCCCAACCTTTGATAACCCTCAGACAGTACAGACCTTTGCTATGAAAAGCATGGGGGTAGTTACACACCCAAACTGCTGGAGTCGTATTTTTTTCCATATACCTATGAAGAGGTTACGTGATCTGATGCTCTCAGGATTATTAGGGTTGGCTACGAAAGGACCGAAATCGTTTCATTCTAATGAAAGCAGGCATACGTTTTTCCTACCATAATGTTGATTCTATTCTGCTATTTAGCTTTCAAAAATTCTGTGTTTCAATAAAGCCTGAAGGACTTCACTATCCAGTAGGCTTTGTTTGTCGGGAGAAGATACTTTGACTCCTGGATTCATGTGAGCAAAAATAAGATTCTGAAAATCAGGCTTCGCACGTCTCCAACGTTGTCAGTAAGTTTTTTACAGACAGATTGTGATTTTTGTGTCCTTCATCATGACTTTATACATAACTAAGTTTTGTGTCCTTCATCATGACTTTATACATAACTAAGTTTAGAGCTGGGTTTAATTCTTGTCTTGTAGCAAGCCATTCAGTTGACCTGGCGTTAAGCTGTTAGGAGCAATTGCAGCCTGGCAGTGGATTCAAGTTCCCCTAGAGCCAGCTGTCCCAGATAAAGATGGGTAAGAAGAAATGAGCTTTAGTTTTCTTGCTTTACTTATCCTCAAGAACTTTTAGAGGACCCCTGCTCTGAGACATTGAATACATAGATGATCTCCCCCCATCTCCCAAACTGATATGTCTGTAGTGTATTATTTCTGCTGGAACATTTCTGTTTTGGCCAGACAGTCCAGCTCAACAAAGACTTCTTTGAGAATCTTTCTATAGAAACAGCTAAAATGAACTTTCTGTGCAGAAGGTGAGTGAACTGTAGAAGTTCTTTGTACATAGCAAAGAAACCTCATAAATAGAGGAAAGAATTTTGTACAAAACTCATTATCAGTACCTTCCTCTTCTATGGATTATTTTAGTGCATTTCATGACTAGAAGGTTGAGCTGTGACCTTTGCTGTCTAAAGCTCTGTGACACTAAGAGTGCAGGTATCAAGATAGGACTGACTGTTGCTCCTTATCCTCTGTGCTCCTTCCT